TGCATTTTTTTAGGTCGAATCACAAACGAATGCATACGTGTTATCAATGATACCAAGAGGGATCATATTCTGATCGAGAAATGATAGCGTCAGTTCTGAATTGGTTCCTTGCATTGGACAATACGCTAATCCTTGTCCTTGAGACGTTGTGATTAGACCGCCATATTCAATCCCAGCAGACGTGAATGTGTGTAGTACTTGATTGTTGTTTGCGATTGGATTGTAGAGATTTGAGCAAGTAATAACAACAGCGGCTGTCGGGTCTATCTGAGGCACCAAATTGCTATTAACCGCATAAACACTAGTCGTTTGCGCCGCTGGATATGTAGCTGGGCTGAATCCGATGATAGTTCCGAAAGCAGCATTATCTACTTGGAGCTGAGGCGTGTATGCAGTAGCTGGAATCGTTGGAAATCCGCTAGCAGCAGTGTATCCAGTGATATTCTTCACTGGCTGCAAACTAAACTGTAGAGCATAACTGGAGGGATTCTCGGCACATGAGATGAAATAGTAGTACTGTCCAGTCGTGTTATTGATCAGATAAAGATTGTTCTGAATGCAAAAGTATTGGAGGTAGTTGTTGATGTCGCTTGGCCATCAGGGAGTGTGATAGAATAAGTAGTTGTAGTAGAAGCTGTCGGCCATATGATCTTGAAACTATTGTTTTGGCGCTGAGCAGTAATTGCTCGCCACGAGTAGTATATAGATATTGATCCTAGTGCAATTTCATACTGACTGAAGTCAATTGGCTGCGAGAATCGATATCGGAACTGGTGAGTAGCCACTTGATTGTTCAGATTTAACAGAATTGGAAAGCTCATTTTATCTACTTGTATATACTATCCAAAAGAAAGAAAAATGCATCGACGAAAGAGAATTCGACGACAATTAATGCCTCAGGCAATGGAGATTGATGGATCAGGCGAGGTAGATCACTCGAAACCTGTAGCACCATCCAGAAATGACTACGGCTCAACAAATATTGAAACATTGTCCAATCAGCTTCAGAAGATCAGTGTTAGTCATCTCGCTAAGGAACAAAAAAAGAAGAAAGCACCAAAATACATTGATACGTCGAAGCTACTAACGTTCAATAGATCTAAGAGATCTAAAGCTTCATCTGTGACGGGGTCACACAGCACCTTGCGCTAGAGGAAGTTATCTTCCGAGAGTATACAAACTCTCAGTGAACGGCAGTTCACAGGTCCCCTCTTTAATTAAAGAGAGCGAAGTGACCTAAATAAGGTAGATTGTAAACTGAGTATATTTATAGGTAGGTTAAGTTTGTGGTTAATACAAACTATCAGTTACCTATAGAAATGCAATGTCATTAA